ATAAATTTTCTAAGAATAGTAACAGAAACTGTATTCAACGAAATGTTGCTGTCAATTTCATTTCACCTTGTAACATGTTGAGCAAGGTGTATATCTTTATGTGATTATATGTTATTGCACTATATGACATTTTATCTTAATATTTAGACACACATCAGTTTACAAATGGATTTGGACATATAAAATATAAAGAATAACAAGTGATTATAATCAAAGTACAACCGATACATTCAAACATTTAATAAACTATTTTGAATATAGTTTGCATACATTACTACGTACTACCCTTGGTTGATAAACTATAATAGGTATAGTTTATGATACATTACATAACACATACATTTAAAAGGGTACATTTATACAAAGGATATTTTCATTAAGCAAGGTACGGCCATACGGTACCAAGTTTTCATAACACGTAATTCCGTTAATGACTTTGTGAGACATTTACTTCAAATTACCATTAAGTCCTGTATTGTAACCAGAGTCTCCTTGAGGGAGAGCGTGATAGTTGTGTATAGATCTATATTGGGTTTGACAAACCCACACCTAAACTGCATGCAACAGTTAGACCGATAGGTCTGGGGTGACAAATGTCATAACATTTCCGACGCCTGAAGAACGTCGTTTTAGGCAACCTTGGTCATAGTATGGTTATAATAAACTCACATAAAGTATTAATAAACATTGGAATTTACGGGAACTTCATTAAAATCAAACGAGTTTATGTCGATTTAAACTTGCATTGTTTTACTATAAATATGACAAATTACTTGTACATTTCGGTCTTTGGGTTTTAAGACTACATTTACACATTAAGGAAAATATTAGATTTTCTAACACAAATACTACTTTTACAAAAGAAAGGCTTTTAATAATACCAAACAAAAGCTTATGAACTCACCAACCTTTGTGTTGACACTTTTTCAAACAACTTGTATTCTCAGGAAATCATTAAACAGGTAACCAAGTGCTTTTGAGGATGGGGCGCTAAGGCGTCTACTATTTCATATTTTGTCAACATATTGTAATTGATTCGTAAACATGTAATTCATACAATGATGTCACTTTTTCAATTATATATATGTTGGTTGTGTTTGCTTCAATTACTATTACAATTGTTGTTATGATACTATACATGAAGTCCTCCACCCCCGGACGTTTCCGCCATCCTTGGTTTGGGGGTGTGACAATAAGTAATATCCGATTGGCAGTGGAATGTGTGATTTCCGCCTTACTTCCTGTTCCTTGTTTGGTTGTGGGCTTATGGCAGATTCACACATTTAATTGTTCGTTCGATATTAGGTTGTATATAACTAGTATAAACTAAGTAATTATAGAGGGAACTATTATGGTTATCATATTATCACCTAAGAAAATATAGGATTTTCTGGAGGAACCAACTAACTTTTCCAGGAACCTAGAGTATACTTCATATAACTAAAATACTTATGAACTCACCAGCTTAAATGCTGATCTACTCTTTCAAAATAACTTGTATTCTCAGGAATCCAGTAGACAGGTACACTCCCGAAGCTTTTGAGAAGACTGCTTAGTACCGTGCTGCGTCATTTGTATTCTACCGTATCTACTTTGTTGTTTGAGTATGTAATGTTTAAACACTTATGTAAAACTTATACTTATTAATGCAATGGTTGTTTGTACTTTGATTACTATAATGCATGTATTGTGATACTTACATGACGTCCTCCACCCCCGAAAGTTTCCGCCGTTCTGGTTTGGGGGTGTGACACCACGTATAATGCGACACGTGGCACTAGTAAATAAATGCCACGTCATCATGTCCGACCAGATGCGTGGCACGTAGGGGGCATGGTGTACGACACGCTCCCTTTTCAATTCTATATAAACCTTCGAAGATCAGCTCCTTTCTTACACCCTTTTACTTAATCTCTCTGGAACTCTTTCGAATCCTTTTAGCCCTTTACTCCTTAGTTCCCAATCACTTCGGTAAAGCCCTGCGGTGTCAGATAGTCTGCGATTAGAAGCTCTCAAGTCAGAGTTCTGCCCGCCTAGTTCCCAGTTTTCATCAGTGAGCTCTGTAAGTTAAGGTATACTTATTATATTCAAGTGTAACTTTTAATTATAGTCATAGTCGTTGATATGAACCTATAATTAAGATTTATTTGTGATTCCAAGTCATTATAATGATTGATCTACTTACAGGGATGATGTTTAGGCTGGATTTAGTGAGCTGTTTAAAATGAGATTTCCAAACAGTATACTATGTATACCAAACGGACCCTACCTTAGATACGATCCTACTTGGTTGTTCCTTACTTGATAGATCTTGATGTAGACTTTGAGATTAGTGAGGAATCTAGAATATCATTAGTCTCCAGGAATATAAAAATAATACTTAGTGACATTCGTATCTAGTTCACGTCAGAGGAAAAGATAAAATACCAAGACAAAGTTCTGCCCAAGTTCCGAGGCAACCACTTTTATCAAGTGAGTGCATAATTACTTTCATCTTACACATAAATAAGAATTATCTAAATAATTAAATGTTATATGTGCCTATGTGTTAAGATGTTATGTGAAATATTATATGACTTATATCGTATATGTATTTTTATAAATATTATACATTTGGTAACGAAGGGCAATGAAAGTTGTCGTAATACAACCACCAGACTATTTATGACCGTCCTTTGAAACACTAGCATTGATGGACTTCGTTCCTATTCGATGAAAAACTGGCAGCTATGGACTTAGTGCCTATTAGACAGACACTAACAGCGATAGACTTCGTGCCTAATAGATAAACATTGGCAGCTATGAAATTAGTGCCTAATAGATAAACACTAGCAACTGTGGATTTAGTGCCTAATAGATAAAGACTGACAACAATAGACTTCATGCCTATTTCTTAGGACAAACTCTTAGGAATAAAAATAGAAAGAAACCTACTATCTTGTATTGCGGAGAAATCCTTGTAACAATAATGTCTGCAACGATGACTATGATTACCCTTAGGATAGCTCCTTAGGGAAGAATAAGTAAGAAAACGAGAATGGGTAACTTGGTTAATTGTTTGATAATTAAACATATCAATTATATTATTGTGGGTTGAAAACCCAATGTACTCACTAGGTTTCTCAACCCGACCCACTTAGTTTATTTGTATCACAGGTATCGATGCGAATATACATTACACTGAGAGATTAAAGTAGATGTAGATCATTAGAGGAAATTAATCTAATCTGTTTACGCTTATGTTTTGTATCATTTATGACATCCTAAGATTTGAAAAGATATCAATATCAATTGTTCATTCGGAAATATTTTATGTTAATATTATCTCTGATGCATCAACTTGACATCACCCCCCCCCCCCCCCAATGGTAGAGCCTTTCACCCAGAAAATAGTACATGAACCGTGGAATGTTGAAACTCACCATAACTTCATTCCGATATTTTTGGTTGAATTTAGCATGTTTGTATTTCATCTTTGGATAACTAGTTAATTTAATTTTTTCTTTTAGGATTTAAATTATGATTTAATGTAGTATGTTTTGAATTAAATGTTATTTTTAATTTTCTTTTATAATTTTTTTTGTTTTAAATTATTAAAGATTTAGTTTATAAAATAAAAAAATTAAAAATTAAATAGGTTGGAAAAGATGAGAAAGATGAATTTGTTTGTGTTGTTAGATTTGAAATATAGAAAAGAGATGGAAAAGAAAAGCGTCCTACTAATTAGACCCCATATTCACTTATTGGACCCCAACAATTATGAGTTTTCATTTTTTTCAGATCTTGGGAATTGTAATTGCTTACTTTTTAATTTCATCTATTTTTACAATCGAAGTCACTACCTCGAAGCCATTTTTACTTTCTCAAATTTTTTTGAAGGTGAGTGTCTTGTTGATACTAAAACTTATTTAATTTAATATGAAAATTTATTTCATTTCATCCGGCAATAAAGGAGCATATGGATTATCATTTTAATTTTAAAAAAATAATAATAAACCATCATATTTTTATTTATATAAAATCGAAACATTATTAACATAAAAATACACATACCGTAAATTATGGATTATCATTTGAATGCTTTTAGTTGATAGTGACTTTTGTACATAAATTATAGATAAGTACTTTGTAATATATTTATAAAAAATGATTTTTATAAATTGTATATAAAAAATATAAAAAATATATAAAAGCTGTTTTATTTTAAATGTTTGATAACAAAAAAATTATCTCATTAAATATATTTTAGTAAAGTTTGTGATTAAATAGATTTAAGTAAAATTTGTAATTTGTATATTAAAAAAAGATTTTATCATTACTCCATAATTAATTAATAATTAAAGAAAAAATCATAAAGTAAAAAGGTTATCATTATATTATAATGATAGTATTTAAGAAAAAAAAAGTTTAATGATTGGACCCAAAGAAAAAACCTATTTCGACAATGATCTGACAAATGGTTGGGAGGGACGAATACTTTCCAGCCTTAGCTATTGTTTGTTTTCCGCTTCTAATTATTTGGTTTTTATATAGTGTCAATGATTGGGAGAACTTGTATGACAACCATATTTCCTTAACAAATGGGCAAGTAATTACAAACACGCGATTGAGATATGGGTAAATTATAAAGAGTTAAACATTCTATTTCTAAGCAAATCTAATCTATTAACGTGTTGGTTGACCAATAATTTTTGTAATCAAAATAAAAAATTCATGGAGTTTTGCTGAATTATAGAAGTTATAGCCTTAATAATGTATAGATCAGATAGTTGAATGACATGACATTCATAATTTGCATTTAATGGGTTAAATACTATCATTGTGAGATTTTTTTTGAACCGGCAAATAAAATATATAAACAAACAGACATCTAGCAAGTAACTAGAAGCTGCAGAATGAGTACAAGGAGAGGTATTAAAACTGACAGATTACAAGCATGAAAATGGATTAGTACACCAATTATACCACACCATATTAGAGTTTTCCTTCCTATTTTTCATCTAGAGAAACAATGTGGACTGAATGAGATCAGCACATTTAGCTGAGGGCATCTTGGAATCATTAAACACTCTGCCATTCCTTTGTTTCCAAATGCCCCAAAGAGCACCATAACAAATCCCCAAGAATAACCTCCTTTTACTTGGATTATTCGACCAATTGTTGGCAAAATCCAGCAACTCAACCACAGTTCTGATTGGGGGCATCGTCACACCACACCATTTAAAGATCCAGCTCAGTACTTCTTTTGCATATTCACACCCAACCAAAACATGATCCGAATCTTCCTCCCAGTCATCACAAAGACTACATTTTATATCTCCCAAGGAGACCCCACGTTTTACTAGTGCTAACTTAGTGGGAATTTTCCCCAGCCACGCCCGCCATATAAAGCAAACCACCTTTATTGGAACTTCACGAATCCATTCGAATTTTCTCCCAGAAATAGGTAAGCTCCTATCCCAGATTTTTCGTAGCGCATTGACAGCAAAAATTCCATCCGAAGTCAGCTTACAGATCCAAGATTCAACTACAGAGTTTGTTCGTTTACATAAAACATCTTCAGAGGCTATGTTCTTTTTTCTCAGCTCTTTACATACCCCGACAATATTTTTCCAAGTACCCAGTAGTCGATTATTAGCATAATAGTCATCTGGTTTTGAGTTCAAATTATGTATACCATTAATGAAAGCATCCCAAATTGTTGATGCCCCAGTCCTCAATCTCCACCACCACTTAACCATTAAGGAGATATTCAAAGATTTGATCGTTCCCACACCAAGACCCCCAGCCTCTTTGGACGAAGTAACGGTATCCCAAGAAACCCAGTGGATCTTCTTTTTATCACCAGTACTTCCCCACAGAAACTGCCTTCTAATGCTTTCTAGTTTGTCAATCACCCCTTGAGGTGCAAGAAATAAAGAGAGAAAATAGGTGGGCAAATTCCCCAACACCGACTGCACCAAGGTCAGCCGGCCCCCGAATGAGAGAGTTTTGGACTTCCATTTCGAGAGTTTCGCATGAAACCTGTCAATAACGAGACTCCAATGTTTAATAAGATTCATGTTTGCCCCTACGGGTACCTCCAAATAGTTGAAGGGTAATTTTGCCGGTTCACACCCGAGAGGTCTTGCACGTCTTGTAACCTCTTGCATACTTACTCCGACTCCAAAGACTCGTGATTTGTTGAAATTCACCCTTAAGCCCGATGCAACATGGAAGCAATGAAGAATTCTAGACAGATTTTTGATGTTATCCTCCGACCACTCTCCAAGAAATAACGCGTCATCCGCATATAGAAGATGAGATATGACCGGCCCTCCATTTGGAATTTTAATTCCTTTAAAAACACCACATTCACATGATGCCCTCATGGATACCGATAGTCCCTCCATTGCAATTATGAATAGAAATGGGGATAGCAGGTCTCCCTGCCGGACACCCTTTGTGATGGGGAATTCATCCGTCGGGCAACCATTGATGAGGATTGATGATTTTGCAGATGCAATACACCCCTTAATCCATCCTCTCCATATGTCTCCAAAGCCCATCGATTTCATATTTGCATCCAAAAACCCCCCAATTAATAGAATCAAATGCTTTGTTAAAGTCGGCCTTGAATAGTAACACCTTCTTCGTCGCCTTAGCCCACGAACACACCTCATTGACAACAAGCGGACCATCAAGTATATTTCGCCCCTCCACATAAGCAGATTGTACTTCATCTATACAATTACCCAACACCATCTTGAGCCTTCTTGCTAGAAGCTTGCAATGATTTTGTAGATGGAGCCTATAAGACTTATGGGGCGATAGTCATCGAGTGAGGACGGGTGTTTGATTTTAGGGATTAGGGATATAAAAGAGGAATTACACGATTGATCGATCCTCCCGTGCCTCTCGAAATGTTTTACCACCGCAGCTATGTCACCTAACAATACATCCCAATACTTTTTAAAGAATTTAAACGAAAAACCATCTGGTCTCGGGGCCTTCTCATTGCCACAAGCCCATACCGCTTCTTTTATTTCTTGGAGGGTAAATGGGACTTCAAGCAACTCGTTGTCAGTCGGAAGGATCTGCTTGAAATGTTTGCTTACAAGTTTAGGTCTGGAAGGCCATCTCTCCTTAAATTTATCAGCAAAAAAATTGAAAGCCTCCATCTTGATCAGACCCGGATCAGTACACCAGTTCCCGTTTATCATAATGCCATCAATCCCGTTTTTCTTGTTGTTGTTGTTCACATACCCATGAAAAAATCTAGTATTCTCGTCACCGTCAACCGCCCATTTGATTCGTGATTTCTGTTTGATATCTTACGCCTTGAATTTCTCTAGTTCCGCCACCTTCTTAAAGCTATCTCTCCTTTGCTCAAGCTCCACTTCTGTCAGGCTTCTCTTTTCGGCCTCATGATCTAATCTTTCAACAAAGAGTTTATGATTACACAGTTCCGATTCTTCTTTTGGGTGGTCAGCAGCCCTCCATTCCTGAATACCCTCCTAGACATGTTTTAGCTTGGCGGCTAGGTATTGGTCTGGTGTACCAAAACCAACAAAGTTATTCCAACTAGTGATGAACGCCTTTTCAAATCCGTCTCCAAGCATCCACGAACTGAACAATTTAAAAGGAGGTCGGCCAAAATTTCGTCTACTGTTCGATAAAATAATCGGACAGTGGTCCGATAATTCTCTAGGTAGTGCTGTGACAGTGGAATTAGAGGCAATGTCAAGGAAACAAGGGCTGTGAAGGAAGCGATCCAGCTTACCTAGCTTTGCATCAGCATCCCTGAAACATATGAAACGAAAACCTCCTATCTTTGGCTCCATCAACCCTGAGTCCCTAATAAACTCATTGAAATCACGGGCAGTTCTTCGATAAAAAACAGAGTTAAACCTCTCCTCAGGTCTACGAACAACATTAAAGTCCCCCATGAGGACCCACACCCCATCCTTGGTTTCAATTATTTCTTTTAATTCCTTCCACAATCTAGCCTTATCCGCCACCGGTTGTGGTCCATAAACATTAGCAAAAATGGCAGGCTTCTGAACACCCACCCAACTGCCAATATTAATCAGATAATGCCTTGAAGAAATAACCTCTGATGATTTGAATAGTCTTGCATCCCATAAGTTCAGAAGCCCCCCAGATCTGCCAGAAGAATTGATACGACTAACACTAACCTCACTCGAGCCCCAACAAGCAGCGACATCAATATGCTCAGCATCTAGTATTTGAGTTTCCTGTATAGCTATGAAAGATAAGTTGTGTACCGACCTTAGTCTGCGAATCCAGGAGACCTTATGATCCTCCCCCACACCCCTAATATTTAGCGACAAGAAATTCATTGGTGACCTACTCGCTCACCGTTGCCACTGAGGACTTCGACCAACAACGGGTTGTCTGACTGAATATCGAAACCAATTATGGCTCCCACAACTGTTATAGCTTCAATTTCTGGAACCCCAAATGGAGGCGCCAACCCAGGAATCGAATTTAGGGCAGGACTGACTGAGACAGGGCATGTAGGAGTAGTCTGAAGGACGATAGGATTATCGTGGTTCATACCCACGACGATATTAAAGGATGATTGAAGGTTGTGCGGTGGAAATTCCGGATCCGGAACGAGGTCAGGGAAAAGTTTAATTGGGGAAAAATTGTCACCAGACGGGGAGCGATGGCACCTTTTACGTTTGACAGATGTCCGACACTTCATGGGCTTGTCACCGGAAATGGGAGTGGAGTTACTTGCTAAGGGAGATGAGACAGCGGAGGGGAAAGGCCCAAAACATCCTGATTGGACCAAGTTGAGAGGAAAATTAATGGGCTCCATATGGGTATCTACACACTCTAACTCCGATCCAATTCTAGTCTCACGCGCTGAGGTATCCACGTCACCATGATCTGCCCCAAAATAACCGTTATCATTAAATTCCTCTACATCGAGATTTCCAAGAGTCGGTTCCTCTTCCCCATGCTCGAAGCACTCACGCAACTGTTCAGAGTCCAAGGAATCGACCGGGGAACTTTGATCGCCACCATCAACCACCTCGGGTGGCACACCAACAATGGACTCATCTGCAGGTTTCGGAGCTCCGCCCACCGGAGGAGGCGGTGGAGTAGGAACATATCCGTACTCCTCCAGATGAATTTCTCCATCCTCGTATTCCATGTCGTCCGTCTTATCCTCGTTATGATTGTAGTCATCCATGAAATTTTCATCCTCATCATCATTGGGTACATTCGTGTCTTCCTCATCCAATTTTCCACCAAAAGAACATTTCGCATCAGACTCCGATTCATAGGGATCCTTTTCATTTGCGAAGACGAACGGAAACCAAGGTTCATCTTCATATTCCACCACCCCCACTTCGAAAGGTCTACCCTCAATCTCAACTTGAACAATCTCATTGTGCTTCTTCTTTTCCCCTGTCAAAATTCCAATTTTAACGACCGAGAGGTCCAATCGTTCCTTGATATTATCAAACGACACCACTAGTTTCCCAAATCTTGCCAGAATGGCTCTAAAGTTTGCGTCGTTCCAGAGCTGTATGGGGAGACCTACGATTCTAACTGATGTAACACGTTCAAACTTCGTCGCCACGGTATCTCCCCGCTTTAACCACTTGAAGATATATTTCCAGTTGTTTTCACCATCAAGGAACTCCCGTGCACTTACCGAAGCATGAAAAATGATGAGGGCCAACATGCCCCCAACGTATTTAACCGAAGGCCGGTGTTCGATGTGAATGGAAATAAGTTCCGGCAGGTGAGCCAGGTGGTGCATGGTCTTAGCCTCACCAATAAGACAATAATTTTTTATCCATCCATCCATGTACTGGTCGGACCTCAGACGAATTGGGTGTTGCAACGAGTGTGAATAATTACCCCCAATTTTTGTAGAGACCCCCGCCGGAACATGAGCGTATGAACGGTTGTCTACATGGCCATTGCCGACGGTTCTGCAAGCCCCAACGGGAACTTTCTTGCTCTGCTTTGGCCTGACTGGGATCTTCCTTTCGTGCTTTGCAATATTTATCTCCAACGTGTTATTTCTACACTTGGTGCCATTCAACATAGACTCCATTTCTTTAGTGTCTTCCACCCCCAGAATCTGATGAACCCAAAGCACTTCCCGTTAACACCTTTGTTGCCGCCGAAGTATACGTCCGATAGCCTTCCAAACCTTGAAAAGATCTTTCGGAATTCCGATTTAGTCGCTCTGTCTCGGATGTTCGTGACAAAGTAGCTAGATTCATCTTCAATCTCATCTCGATTACCGGTTGGTTTACGCCGCCGCACCTCCGTCCATTCTCCGTCCATTACATGAGAGAGAATATTATGAGAAAAATAGAAGATAAAATTCTATCATTGTGAGATGTTATCACTAGTACAAAAAGTATTTAATGGTGCGGTTAAAATGATTAATTGTTGTGGTTATAGAACCACATAAAAAAATATCGCATCAAAGAACACCCACATTTAATATTACGGTTATAAAATCGCACCAAAAAACCATGGGAACCGCCCCAAAAGTACTTTATAGAATCATTAAAAATTATGACCATTAAATATAGAATCACACCATTAAAAAAGAAACGTCTCTTCTTAAACAATATAAACTATACCAAATTTATAAACTACATCAAAGCTAAACCATTTTCATAGTGGAAATCACATAAACAAAGAATAGATTAGCTAAATAACGTATTTATTATACACATTCGATAAACATCAAAGCTTGGTAAATCTGATTTCCCTTTAACATTTTCGAATCAGAAAAATAAAATCTAAAATCTAAAATCTAAAAGATCTAAGATATAAAGCATACATGGTTCTATAACATAAAACAAACAAAGCTATTACATCAACAACATGTATACACACAGATCTCGTATGATCGAGAGACAGTGATGTTGATGGTGGCGGTTTTAGATCCAAGATCTTCTTAAAGAGAAACAAAAAGGGAAGGAAAAAAGGAAACACGATGGTGGTGATTAGTTGTTTAGCAGATGCATCAATTGTGGTGGGACGATTGTAAAAAGATTTGATTAAGATGGAGGCATCGACAATGGTGATGACTGCCAAGCAAGGTGATGATCAAGGCAACCTAGCAGATACGGTAGTTGTAGTGTAGTTGTGATAGCTGGTAGGTAGGTATTTTAGAGAGAAAAGAGTTTAAGAGGTTCTTTGGTATTCACTGTGGTAGTATAGTTTTACATTAATTAAAAGGATTTTATGTTTGTTTGGTTGACTGATTTTTATTCCTTATATTAGTTTTTTGTTTGTTTGTTAATCTCTTATCTATTGGTTCATATATAAAGACTTGGCAATCCATGTGAAAATAATCTTTTGGTAAAAGCTTTCCCATGCAATCAATGCATCTTGGTACTTGTGCAGAATACCTCTAAAGTTAAAGACAAAACTGCAAGATTGGTTCCTTTAGTATTTAAAAAACTTTGGATAGAGTCCAAAAAGTTTCTCACTTGAATAGAAGGTCCAAAATCAAAATTTTTCTGTGTTTTTTGTCCAACAAAACTTGAAAAGTTGGTTATAACCTTTTACTTTCTTTATATATATATATATATATATATATATATATATATATATATATATATATACACACACACACACACACAGATATATATATATATATATATATATATATTTTTCAAATACTATCTTAATTTATAAATAAAAAGAAAAGAAAATAATTATCCCCCAATCCTACCACACACACACACTCTCTCTCTCTCTCTCTCTCTCTCTCTCTCTCTCTTGGAAACGCAAAGTGGGGTGGGACATGCTTCGTAGTTCTTCATTCATCCTCCATATTCACTCTTTCAATCAAACCCCCATGTCACAACGCTTGTGGCAGAGAGGAAATTGAAACCTCAGAGAGTCGGAGTTGAGGTTGAATGGGCGACGACTTGATGTGAGAAAAACTCAATGGTGCCCTAATTTGGTGTTTCCTTTTTCGAAGTTTAGTCATTACTCATCTCCGATCTATAATGTGCTTCCATTAGCCCTCGTTATTTTCCACCACCAGCACTAGAAGGAACCCAAATCGAGTTGGGTAGTGACTACCGGTTCTGCTTCGACATTGGTTCTGCTTCGACATCACCATCACAGTCAGAGGCAAGTTGGAAGGGGTGATGGCGACCGACATTGGTTCAACTTCAAAGAGTTGTTGAATTCTCTCCATAACTGTTTCTCTTCTTCCTTGTTCGAAGATTCTTGAAGAGACCTGCTCTCGCCAGACCGTCGCCACGACCGCCGGAGGAGCTACCTCTCTCTCTCTCTCTCTCATAAATCTATAATGCTACCCTCCCTTGGAATCAACTAAATTCGATTCTGCTAGTATCATACAACAAACCATTTCCTGTGAATTTAAAAGGGAATGGTTGATTCTAGTGTCATGGGGTTTTTCAGTACAGATTGTAGATGCAAAATGGAATCCCCTAAACGATTTGATACTATTGTGGTGTTAAAGAAGGAAGATAGTCTTGCGCTTATACATCCTTGTAAACCCATCAAAGTTTTTGATGAAGATGATGAAATATGAAACATATTGAATAAGGTTTTAAAAGAATGGTGATCAGATAATTTTTTTTTACCTGATACCCAATTGGAGATTAAGCATCTCAATCTAATCATATGGCGTCCTTGTACAACATTTATCGAGATTCCAATTTTGTTCAAACTGTGTTTGTTGGTGTGAAATGTATTTGGGTTTTTTTATGAAGAAGATGATCGTGTGTGTAACATCCTATTTCAGATTCCGTGATTAGGGTTCGTGGACTGCAACCCGGGCATGAGGAAGTCTCGGGGTTGCGAAGAGTTGCTAGGAGCATAAGGCATCTCCTCATCTTTCCATGGATATAAGGTTCATTGGAAACAGAGTTATATCAAGGAAGCAATGGAAGTTTAAAGTTATGGCAGGATAAGTCCCTTATTTGAGAAAAGTGGCAGCTGAGTACGCTGGGCGTATGTCTGTGTACGCTTAATGTACTCATGTGCGTGATTTTTAAGCGGAGCCACCTAGTACGCTGGGCGTACTAGGCACAAAGTGAAAACCCTAATTTTGGGTGTGTCCCTATATAAAGGATATGATGGCCTCATTCCTGGCCACCATTCTCAGTCAAAAAACCCTCCTAAACCCTAAACCTTCATTCATAGAGCTTGTGACTGCATTTGAGAGCTTTTGGGTGATTTTGTATGTTCTTGGAGTGAAGAAGAAGCCTTGGAGAAGAAGGAGTGAGAGTCCAGGCCCTTGGATCTGAGCATATTTGTGTTGGGAGCTTCATATAGAGGTATAAAGCTTCAATCTTTCTCACTCTTTTGTTTTGTGCATCATATTGAAGTATTTTAGGGTTTTTGTCCCAAAAGTTGGAGACTTTATGAGTTATTGAGCTCCAGAGACTATGATCATCCCCTTTGAGTGTATTTAGTGGTGTTGCGTCATAAAAATTAGGACTTGGACGTTGGGATCAAGTCATGCATGAGATATGAGCTTTTTGAGATAAGAGAGTGAGTGTTTTGTGTGTTTGTGGCCATATCAGCCATACAAAGGTTTAAAGTCACTGACTTTATGGAGTAAGAGCTATTATGGAGTCCAGATCTTGGATATGAGCCAAGGTCTTAACTGATTAAGACCAAAAGAGTAGAAAGAGTGAAGCTAGGAAGTACGCTGAGCGTAATTCCAGTACGCCCCGCCAACTGCCCAAGTGTCCCCGATGGCCAATCTGGATTCGTGAGTACGCTGAGCGTACCAAGGGAGGTACGCCCTGCGTAACCTCACTGTGGACTTTTAAGCTAAATCTCATTTTGGGCCTGGAGTTTGGGCTTGTTGCAATAGAGTTTTGGACCAGAGAAATATATATATATATATATATATATATATATATATATATATATATATATATATATATATATATATATATATATATATATATATATATATGCTTTGGGCCCTTGAGTTGGGCTTGCTATTTAGATTTCAGAGTTGGGCCATGGGGGAGCCATTTATTATTGGGCCTTGGTGGGCGCAATGGGTTTTAGGTCATTGATGGGCTGGTTAGTGGGATACCTTTAGACCTAATGAGTGAGAGTTTAGACTTAGTTCCTAATTGGGTTAATTGTGGGTTTCGCTCAGAGATAGAGGTCGGTGTGTAGCAGTAGCGTTATAGGGGTTGTTCATCATCCGAGGTGAGTCTTCTCAGTATACTTTACCTAGAGTGGTAATTCTTGTGTGACCAGAGGGTTTTATGTGCTTATATTGAGTATTGTGATATCCTGCATTATGTCTATGTGATTTATCCTGTGTATTATTCTAAGCTTACTGAGTTAGGACCGGAGGGTCCATCTGAGTTAGGACCGGAGAGTCCACCCGAGTTGTGAGACTGGAGGGTCCACCCGAGTTGTGGGACCGGAGAGTCCCATTGAGACACATTGACCAGAGGGTCTTATTGAATTGTGGCCTCGAGTGGCTAATGAGCTGTGTGTGGTATTTTGGGGAACTTACTAAGCTTCGTGCTTACCGTGTTATGTGATATTTGTTTTAGGTTCTTCTCAGGATCGCGGGAGGGCATCGGTTCGATTGTACACACCAGAGAAAAAGCTGTGTTTTGAGGATCCTGGATTATTAATCAAACAATTATGGAGTTGTGTTTTGTAAACTAAATAAATGGGATTTTGTGAAATGTGTCATGAGACATATGTGATTTTAAATTGAAATTTTGTTTGAAAATTTACGGTGTTATAATTTGGTATCAGAGCCTTGGTTTGAGGGATTCGGATGCACCGTCGGGTGTGTTTCGACTCAAACTGAGGATTTGAGAAAAAATTTCAAAAGAGATAACTTTTTCTAAAATGAGAAAGTGTTTAAGAGAAAACGAGTTGGAGCAGTGTGTACAATTAGCCAGAGCCCGAATGGTGATTTCCCAAAATACCCTAACTTTTCTGTTATGATATATTTATGAGATTTTTATGAGATATTATGCATGCTAGAGGGTAGGCTAGGTATTTCATATTTTAGGACTAGAGCGGCCTGATTTGTGATGCCTTAGCCTAGGAGTTGCTGCTATC